TTAAGCCCTCTCTCCGCGGATGCGGCGGGCCAGCTGGATGTCTTTGGGCATGATGGTGACCCTCTTGGCGTGGATGGCGCACAGGTTGGTGTCCTCGAACAGCCCCACCAGGTAGGCCTCGCTGGCCTCCTGCAGGGCCATGACGGCGGAGCTCTGGAAGCGCAGGTCGGTCTTGAAGTCCTGGGCGATCTCGCGGACCAGGCGCTGGAAGGGCAGCTTGCGGATCAGCAGCTCGGTGGACTTCTGGTAGCGGCGGATCTCCCGCAGAGCCACGGTCCCGGGCCGGTAACGGTGGGGCTTCTTGACTCCGCCCGTGGCCGGAGCGCTTTTGCGGGCAGCTTTGGTGGCGAGCTGCTTCCTGGGGGCTTTGCCTCCGGTGGACTTACGGGCTGTCTGCTTGGTTCTGGCCATGGCTGCTTTCGACTAGACTCTTCACGAAGAAGCGAACGTGTGAGAAACTCCGAGATGTGAGCGACTCTTAAAGGCAGCGCCGGAGAGTCCTTGACGCTGATTGGCCGGCTGTGCGCATGTGATAAAGAGCAGTTACAAATTCGAAAGAGCCAATCAGAGCGGCTCTGAAAGGAGAAAGGACACAAAAAACCGTTGTAAAGAGTGTGACGTAACTTTTGTTCAGTTAAGATTGGGCAATACAGCAGTTTGTGTTTAATATCTGTAATAATATCAGTATTTAGGTTCAGGAAGCAAAGGCTTCTGGAAAACTTTCATGCGACTAAAATAAATATACTATATGTAATAGGCATAAAATAAAAATAGTGTAGAAATAACCCATGGGAGCAACTTTAAAGAGAAAAAGGCTTCTCATACATTTCATGAAGCTTTTTGACGGATGAGATTTTCAATTTGGACCCAAATAATACATATTAAATACAGCTACATGGACTGTTTGTGTAAACGGAGTAAAATGGGTCAAATCAGCACAGGTCACTGAGCAACTGGGACAATACAGACACATTTTTACAGTCTTCTTACTGACTTCAGTAATGATCAATTCAGGAAATGTGCTTTTTAGAAATGTGGGTGGCTCTAATATGCACAGATGAAAAAAATATGTAGTGAAACCCATGACCTGGAATGATCCCCGTTTAATAGAAGGCAAAAAGTAAACAGCTGCTCAACTTTTGTGTGAGGCTTTCCAATACTCTATACATAGACTAAAGTATTTTTTTAAAAGCAATTCATTTCATCAAAATGTAAAATAGTCCAGGCATTGAGTTTAATGGTGTGCACTCTGATGGCATTACTAATTCACTTAATGACACAAAATCAGGTGTGTGCCATGCTGCATAACTAGTGTTTTACCATTAAACGCCACATGCATTTTTCCAAATAAAAGTTACTTATCTGGTTAGAAGTTGAAAGGAATTCACCTCGAATATGAATGCAATTAAAATGACTGTATAACTGTACATTACACTGGTTTGTTAAAAGATAATGGTCAACTCAGGAAACATGCTTTTAGAAGTGTGGGTGGCTCTTAAAAGAGCCGTTGGTTTGATGTTGGGCTGTTGGTTAGAGTTAACCGCCGAAGCCGTACAGAGTGCGGCCCTGCCTCTTGAGCGCGTACACCACGTCCATGGCGGTCACGGTCTTCCTCTTGGCGTGCTCGGTGTAGGTGACGGCGTCCCGGATGACATTCTCCAGGAAGACCTTGAGCACCCCGCGGGTCTCCTCGTAGATGAG